GTGATCCCGTCTTAACCAAGTTAGCCTGGCACGACCTGGCTAGAGCTCCCAAGCTTTTTTTGCCTCGGACTTTAGCTAAGGAAACCTCAAAGCTCAAGCATGCGCTCGTCAATCTTGTTAAGTGTTATCTGACATGGACCGTGAGGATGGACGGTTCACCTGAAGCTATTAGTCTCTTCAAAAGACAGCTCGTTGATTCTCTAGTTTGGGGCATGGAACAAACTAGAGAAGAACGAAGAGCTTCCACGACCACGATAGCAATAGTTACTTATGGAAAAGATAGAGCGTTGGCAGATGGACCACAGCGCAGGACATGGACAGGATGGGACGGTGTCCCCGTCGCAGCCCGCTCCGTCGGGACATCTATGCCTCCTTTCCCTGTCCGTCCTATTATGCGGCGCCATTCGGTACGGATCAGTTGTAGTCCTCTCTACCTGACCTTTAGTAAGGTATACCATGAAGGGGAAAGGAAGAAGGATAGCAGTGCTGCTGGGAGCCGTTCACATGCATCTAGCGCACCGCACCGTTCCCGTAGCTTCCCTGCCCGCGCCTTCTTGAGGAAACGAGTTCGTTTCCAACGTGCAGTGCAGCGCATTTGCCTCCCTTCCCCCCTGCCTGCACTCACCAGCGTTCACCTTATCCCGTCCCCTCTCTCTGCTGTACGGGTCAGACAAGTAATACATCACCACTCGCACTCGCATCATACAAGTCCCGCCATCAGCCATTGCACCCATAATACTGCACATAGTTCTTTTTCCGCGCCACCCACGGGATAACAATATTGCTGGCCACGTCCCAGAAGTGAGAAATTGACAATCACTAAACGATTCAGCTTATCCCAAGGACCCGGTTGACCTTTTCCTACGTTCTCCTTAATAAGATACCTCACCTGTTAGGCCATCTCATGCGCCTAGGTTTCTAAGCCCGGAAGTCCCTACCCGCACATTCAAGGTGCCTCTCTACCTTGCTACACAGTACCTCACTTCGCGTACGAACTAAGGTATCTATCCATCACACCCACGCGACACGGAGGCCGAGCACAGGTGGAGCTCTGTCGCATCCATCACTTTTCCCCTACAAAGCTACCGACGCCCTCTGCATCGGCTTGGCTGCTGATATTTGCTACTCGGACTACATAAGTCGAGGCAACCCTTACAACTCTATCTACCACCACCAACACCACCTTCTCTTCTTTTCCGCGACCCCGAATCCCGACCATTGCCAACTTCCCCTCACGAATCTCTCCTCTCCCTAGGTCCGGTTCATCGCAACAAAGGAAGTCCAGGAAAGAAGCACCGTCCCTTACACACTGAAGAACCGCACATCTCAACGCCATCACAATGTCGCTCGCAACCGACACAAAGATCGCCGAGTTCACTCACACCTCAACCGACGACATCTACCGCCTCACAGACACCATCCGCGCCACCTTCCGCTCTAACAAGACCAAGGATCTTAAGTACCGCACCCTCCAGCTCCGTAAGCTCTACTGGGCCATCAAGGACTACTCCCCACAGCTCTGCGATGCCCTGCGCAAGGACCTGAGGAAGTGCAAGCACGAGGCCGTTCTCTCCGAGGTCGACTGGTGCGCCAATGACTGTCTCTACATGCTCAAGAACCTCAGCAAGTTTGCTGCCGAGGAGAAGTGCGAGGATGTGCCTCTCACCTACGCCGCCCTGAAGCCGCGCATCCGCAAGGAGCCCCTGGGCATGGTTCTCGTCATCGGCGCTTTCAACTTCCCCGTCCAGTTGACCCTTCTTCCCATCATCGGCGCCATCGCCGCCGGCTGCACCGCCGTCTTGAAGCCTTCCGAGAGCGCCCCAGCCACCGCCATGGTCCTGACCAAGATCTTCGAGGTTGCTCTTGACCCCAAGGCCTACACCGTCATCAACGGTGCTGTCCAGGAGACTCAGGCTCTTCTTGACGTCAAGTGGGACAAGATCATGTACACGGGCAGCACTGCCGTCGGCAAGATCATCTCCAAGAAGGCCGCTGAGACCCTCACGCCCATCACCCTCGAACTGGGTGGTCTGAATCCGGCTTTCGTCACCAAGAACGCCAACGTCAAGCTCGCCGCTCGCCGTCTCATGTGGTCAAAGTGCCTCAACGCCGGCCAGGTCTGCATTTCTCAGAACTATATCCTGGCCGACCGTGCCATCGTCGAGCAACTCATCCAGGGCCTCAACGCTACTTACAAGGAGTTCTTCCCCAGCGGCGCCAAGAACAGCCCTGACTTCTCTCGTATTGTCAACAAGAAGTCTTTCCAACGCATCAAGAAGATGATTGACGAGACGAACGGAAAGATCGTCATGGGTGGTGGTTTGGACGAGGACCAGCTCTACATTGAGCCCACCGCCGTGCTGGTCGATTCCATGCTCGACTCCGTCATGAAGGATGAGTCTTTCGGCCCAGTTTTCGCCATCATGCCGTATGATACCCTCGACGACGCAATCAACATTGCGAACCAGGTATACAGGACGCCTCTGGCGCTCTTCGCTTTTGGCAATGATCAGGAGAGCAAGCGAAGTAAGCAAAGCCCATTGTTTTGTAGACAGGTGACCATACTAACTTGCTGCAAGTCCTCAACGAGGTGACTTCTGGCGGTGCCACCATCAACGACGGCTTCTTCCATGCCTCCATGCCGACTGTCCCCTTCGGCGGCGTCGGTGATTCCGGCACGGGCAACTACCGCGGTCGCGCGTCCTTCGACGCCTTCACCCACCGTCGCTCCGTCGCGCAGACTCCTTCGTGGCTGGAGAAATTCATCCGTGTTCGCTACATGCCGTACTCCCCCAAGGAGCTCAAGCGCCTCCAAGGCATGACAAATGACAAGCCCGACTTTGACCGCAATGGTATTCAGGTCCGCGGGGTGGGTTACTGGGTCAAGTTGGTCTTGGGGCTCGGCGCGAAAGGTGCTACAGGTGCGTTGTTGAGATGGGTCTTGGCCCTGGTAAGTATGTACACCCTAACCCAGCGAAGGCGTTCTTAGGACTTTGATCGGATGAAGTTATGGGTTGCAAGAACGAGTTTCAAACACAAAGAGCGTTTATCACACTTCACCTCCGCTGTTTCGTCTCTCTGGTACCCAAACACACTTTCCCAAGTGCGATTGTCACTGTGTTTTTATCTTACCAAAAAAAACCACAACCTCATCACAACACATGCCCTCGCGCACCTTTTTCCTTTGGTTGTAAGTTTAGTCCCCCTTCAGATATGACCTGCCTTGGAGAGATACTGGGGGACACGCGAGAAAAAAGTTTCGACTTGTCGTTGGACACACACTCGCTTGGAGTGAAGGGACTCATGTTGCTGGGATGAAAATAGGGGGTGTGAATGTAAGGCTTAGAGAAGCCTTGGTACTATCCCCCATCTCAGACGCAGTCTGTATGGTACTGTGCTATATACCATTTCCTATACGTTATGCGATAGTAATGTGAAGAAGGCAAAAAGCATGCCTTTGACGTTCGTTAGATATTGGCATTATTCGTGAAAAGAGATTTGGAATTCTGCGTCATCAAATGAAATCAATATGTATGGCGATCAAGGTCATTTCTTTCGTTTCACATTGCATACTTATTTTTGGCAAATTCTAAGATGACCTACAGAAAAAAGGAGAGAACCCTTCATCGATCACGAATTGAACCCAAAGCGAAGCAAAGATTAAGGCTTGTGGAGGAAGACGAATTCACCGGCCACCTCCTAAACCCCTCAACAACTTGCCTCCTAAACTTCCGAGTTTCGACAAAATAGAAGTGTGCCCTGACTAATTCCCATAAAATCACCTCGCAGTCCCAACAGGAACACCCCAAGACCCCTTCGCCAACTCAACAGGCACATTCATCTCCAACCTATCATCGTCATCTCTCATCACCACCGACGCCAGCGCGCGGGGTGGTTTGGTGAGTGCAGGTGACGGGTCCGGATCAAAGTAGCCCGGCCTAGCGTCCAACCTGTCTCTCTTCCTCCTTCTCTTCTGCTGTCTCTGACTACCTCCTAGGAAGGTCGAGGAGACGATGGATGAGAGCGTACTTGATCTAGAGAGACTGTGCAGCTGGGAAGGGGTCCTAGTTTGGCGTCTCTCTTTCCCGCCTGATGATGTCGTCTCCAACGTAGAAGGTTTCCCAGAATCGTGGGCTAGAATCCCCGTCATCTGCATTTCCTTGCCTTGCTCCCTAGTCTTGGGAATAACCAGCCCCTCATCGACATCGTCACCACCACCACCATCACCACCACCAAGCGCAACATCCAGATTCCCCTGCTGCATAACCACACTCCTCTTCCCACTGCGGCGACTCGGCTCATCCTCGGTATTCGACACGGCGGCCAGCGCCGCGGACGCAAGGCCCCGATCTCTGGCGAGCCATCGCGCGTCCCGGTGCGCCTTGTAGGTTCTGAAGCCGGCTTGTGCAGTGGTGTCTCCGTCGACGAAGCGTTCGAGGAAGAGTTGGACGCGGTCGCGGAGGCGGATGAAGATGCGGGCGGGGGTCGCTCGCGGTCCTTGGTGCTGACGTTGTCGTGGGCATGGTTGGTGAGGTGTGGTGGTCATTGCTTGTACTTTGAGTCGGTGATGGCGTTAAGTCTCGAGTCTGTGAAGGGGCGGTCTACTTTTCGACATGAGAGTATGATCGTGGGCGAGGTTAAAAGACGCTGAGCTGTCTTGTCCTCCGCGAAGCCTCGATTTTCTCAATCTCGGATCTCGTCCACCGTTCCGCGACCCCCCTGAATGATAGAACCTATAGGCAAATGAAATCTGAGTAAAAACGGCCCGGCTGTACCACTCACACCTGCCCATGTCCCACTTCCGCCCGCGGGAACCAGAGAAGAAGACTGACGATTCCACAAAAGAGAAACAAAAAGCAGAGGCTTGCCGTTTTTCATTCTATATGTGTGGTCTGGTTGGTAGTACAATAATCCCACCATCCGCTCTCCTCCCGCCCCCCTCAATCCCACGTCTGTCATGTCGACAATCGGGAGAGAGGTGGTTCAAAAACCGCGGCAAATCAAATACCCCGAAGCTGCGTATTATCCTGCTCGTCCATCTTGCGGTACCGCTCCGCCAGCACCTCCTTGACGCTCTTGGTCAACCCGCTCGGCTTCTCGTACCGCTGGTGGAGCGCCTTCTGTACCGGCGTCGTCGCGGGCGCCACCGCGCCGTCGGCCTTGATGCTGACCTTGTCCTCGGCCACGCCCACCGCCTGCTTCGCCGCCACGAGCACCGCCTCCCCTTGCTGCCGTCCTTTGTCCACCACGTCGCCGACGACGGCCTTGACCTCGGCGGCCTTGCTGTCGACAATCTTCTTGGCCTCGGCGGCTTTCGCGTCGAGGAGCTTCTTCGCCTCAGCGGCCTTGGCGCGCGCAGCCTCCTCGGCAGCGAGGCTCTTTTCCCTCGCGCGCTCCCACGCGCTGCGCGCCTCCTTCTTGACCTCCGCGCCGGTCGCCTCCGCAGCGGCAGCGCCCTTGGCCGAAGCCTCCTTGGCCAGCGGGACGGCGCTCTTCTCGACGGCCTGCTCCGCCTCGCCGGCCTTTTCAATGGTGCCGCCCCAGAAGCGCGCGGCGCCGCTCTCGAGACCCTCGCGCACCTCGCCCCAGTCGGTGCGCTGCGCCCAGCGGACGGCGTTCTCTACCTCGCGGTTCCAGCGGTCTTTGGCGGAGGTGAGGAGCGTCTCGCGGTCCTTGACGGCCTGTTCGGCGCGGGTCAGGGGCGGAGGAATGCGGATTTGGGGCTCGAGGAGGGAGGAGAGGACGTGGTGTTGGGTGCGGAGGGTGTGGGACTGGCTTTCGCGGTTGCGTTGGTGGGCGAGGACTGTGAGGTAGGCTACGCCTAGGGTTACGGTCACACCGCCGGTCTGTTTGATGAGGTATGGTAGTTAGCTATACGATATGCTAATAGTGCGTGTATAAAATCTCCGTCATAGGTTTCTGGAGTGCAAGAGAAAGAAAGAGAGAGAAAGAGAGGATGAGGGAGTGTAGCGTACGAATCCAGTGGTGAAGCCCATGATGGCTGATGATCCAGTCCAAATGCGACGGGCGCAATTGAAGACTGGGATTTGATATTATAATTCCTCTCCGTATATTGTATTCGGCTTCAAGGTTTCATGATGCAATTGGAGCAAGCACGTCGTAGGAAGTCGAACCGAATTGGCGTTGTCGCTTGTCACTGAATTGACCTCCGAGAAGCGGGACGGGCAGCTTCGGTGCGGAATGACGTTAATTAATCGGGCTTGCGAGCGAGCGAGCGACTTTCAGCCTCCCCGGGTGGATTTCGGCGACGGGCAGGGGTCAAGGTACCTTAGCATCTGGCGGCAGGAACACTGAACTACAGTCCCCGCCTAATTGTTCCTCTAAGCCAACCAGAGGCTCCGAACCACCCTACGCCAAAAATTTGGGAGACGACAGCCGACGGATTGCAACGAGCGACTCCAGAGGCTATCAGCACGGCTTTTTTGACGATCCAATTCGATTCGATAGCCTCAAACTGCTCCGAAGTCCACCGCCCTGTTCACCACGCAGAGCAGCCTACGGACGAAAACGAAACGAAACGAAACAAAACGGGTTGCTCCCGCCGACTTCTCTCCCTCAATTGAGACGACTTCAACACATTCACAGCAGCCATGGCGGGAGGTCTCACCAAGTACAGGCATCTGAGCCGCAACTCGTCGGCACGACAGGCCCTGCTTCGCGGCCTCGTCACCTCCCTCGTCGCCCACGAGCACATTCACACCACCTTTGCTAAGGCCAAGGAGGCCCAGCGCCTCGCTGAGAAGCTCATCACCTACGCGAAGCGCGACAACGAGGAGACGAGGCGGAAAGCTCAGGCGATTCTCTACGTGAGTTGGACAAACACCCCTGGTGGTCTCGGCAGCTCTTCAAGATGGAAGAAGCTACTAGTCCCCAAACAGAGACGAGGTTCAAAAAGAACGAACCGAAACTGACAAAAGGATATAACGTTAGACACCCCACGACCTCCTCCCCAAGCTCTTCGGCGAGCTCCGCACACGCTACTCCGAGCGCCCGGGAGGCTACACGCGCGTGCTGCGCACCGAGCCCCGGAGCACCTACGACCAGGCGCCTTCTGCGATCCTCGAGCTCGTCGACGGGCCCCGCGATGTGCGCTTCATGATGACGGCCAAGGCCGTCGCCCACGACAAGGACTCCGGCCACCGCAGCACCGACCTGACCAAGAAGAACGTCGCCAAGGTGACGAGGTACCGCAAGGACGGCAAGACGGCGTTCGACGACATGGTGGCCAGCTTCAGGCTTCTCACGGCCCGGTCGGATGCGAAGGCGGCGAAGAAGGAGGAGTTGTTGGAAGGGGCCAAGGTCAAGGCTAAGAAGGTGAAGGCCGCCAAGAAGGCGTAAAGCCGAGTGGAGGCTTTTGTCTTGATGCAATGCCAGTCGGTATAGGAGGTCTGTCGTCTGCTGGATAGGGGCAAAAACTTTGCTCAAAAGCAGAGAGGACGATGTGGCGTGAGAAGAAAATGTAACTGATAAGAATGGTGTATTATCAAGAGGGAAATACCTGGCCAGTCTATAGATTACTGTCGTGTAGGGTATACATGTATACTACGGAAGCTCCAAAAAGACAACTTTTTAACTTCTGCCATAATATGGCAGCAAAACACATCCATCTTGCCCCCTTCTCCTTGTTCTTACACAAAATCAAAGGTATCGCCCTTCTCCTGGATCATCTTGCCTACGCGCTGCGTGCCGACCACGCGTTCCAGCTTCATGACATCGTACTTTGAGAACATGATGCGCACGGTACCTTGTCCAGGCTCGATTCTCATATCCTGCTCGCTGCGCGCGAGGTAGTCTCCCGCGATCTCGCGGTAAAAGATTGGGTTGTCGGGCAGGCCGTACATGATGACGCGCTGGACGCCGCGGATCGGCGTCCGCCGGAAGTGGTGCGCTCGCTCCGTGTAGAGGAGCACCTTGTGCCGGCCTGTCATGAAGTGGGAGCGGGCGCGAGAGGCCTCTGGGACGTCGGCGTACTCGGAGATTGTGCCAAAGGAAAGGGCGGCGACGGCCGGGTTGGCGGAGAAGTAGTTGCGCACGCGGACGAAGTCGAGGTACGAGGGGATGAAGATGAGGGTGCCCGAGGTGTCCCTCGCGCGCTTGATGAGGGAGGGGAGGATGGCCGAGACGAAGTAGTCGAAGCGCGCGTCGGGCTCCTTTTCGAGGGAGCGGCACTCGAAGCGGGAAAAGGTCTGGCGGGCCTTGATGCCTAGCTGCGTGAGGACGCCCGGGTAGTCGGCCTGGAAGCGGACCTTGCCGGCCCAATTGTGGCACTGCGTGCGGAAGAGCTCGGTGAGCTCGGGCGTGTTGAAACCGGAGAGGACGATGGTTTGGCGGAAATATTTCGCCTGATCGTCAAGGTACCAACTGCGCACGCGGCCAAAGTCGCAGCCGTGGGCGTCCTTTGGCTGGAGGTTCATGTGCTCGAAAATGTACTCGACGTGCTCCCAGTTCTGCATGAGCTGGGCGTCAGCCTGGTCAACGACGACCATCTCAATGGAGCTGAGAAAGTCGTAGTCCATCTTCTTCTTGTCTTCGTCAGAGCCGATGGCCATGCGCAGGCCCAGGGGACTGGCAAGCAGGATGTCTGAGTTGTAGAACTGTGAAAAGTACTTGACGGTCTTGCGCGTGAACTTCATACCGATCCGGAACATGTCGTCGTCGTTGCCCTCGAAAAGGTCGCGGAAGTCGGCCGGCTTGTCGTCTCCGAATTTGACGTCCTCGTCAGTGTACGCATCGTCGAAGCGCTTTCTGTTTTCCCGCTGGTCCGGCGCGCAAATGTCCTCGATTGTGTTTGCAATCGTTAGGCAGGATTGTCTTGTTGGCAGTAGGAATAGGATCTTGGGGCGCGTGAAGCCCTGGTCTCTGAGCTCGAGATCGGCATTCTCTTCTCTCGAGAGTTTGTAGTTGTTCTTGATGACTCTGTCTCGGGTCCTGTTTGTATGTAAGCATTTGAAATTCAAGGCAAGTCACGTCCAGGTAGGTCCCTTACTTGAAGACGTGATTGACGGCGTGTAAGCATACAAGCTGCCGTAAGCCGTTGGAGTTCTGAATGTTTCGGTTATCATACAACACGTCGTTGTAATTGAATATCGTCGGAGCAATCGCTCGTTGCAGCGTATCGAGTGAGCCAATCTTCTTCGAGGCGATCTCCCGCAGTTTTTGCTTGAGCTTGAGGCTATCCAAGCCGGAGATCGGTGATGGGATCGTCGGGGCGTCCGTTCCTTCCGCTTGAGGGTATGTCACAACAGCCTTTGAAACCTTGGACATTGTTCGCTTGAAAGTCCAGTCATTCTTCTGGATCGCCTTGACTCTCTTCGCCGTCACAGCTTCGTCAGGAGTAGCGAAGTGGCTGTCGAACGGATCTGAGGCATCGACGTCGTCTTCATCGTCGCTCTGCTCCGCTTCCTCTTCCAAATCAGCCATTGGGTCTTCAGCCTCCTCGACCCTGTCAACATCTTTTTCCTCCTTCTCGGCCTCATCGCCATCAGATTCAGACTCGGATCCAGATCCAGCTTCAGACTCAGACTCGGACTCGGACTCGGCCTTGGCGGTCGCTTCTGGTCTGCCGCTCTCGAGCTTCCGTCTTTTGGCACTTGGCTCTGAAGACTCCTTAAATCCTTGGAGGAGCGCCATATAAGGCCGTGTGTTTTGAGGCTGCTCATCTTCATCCTCATCATCGGACATGGAGACATCAGAATCCTCCTCTGCCTCAGAGTCTCCCTCTTCTTGGGACTCATCATCTGAAGTCCTGACAGTGTTAGATTATCATAAATTTTCATAAAATGTCCGGGAAGGTTAAACATACTCTTTTTCTTCCAGACGTGCAGTATCGAATCTTCTGCCTCCTCTTCCTCTACCTCGGCCTCTCGCACCTCCTCTCCCTCTTGTGCCTCCTCTTGCACCTCCTCTGCCACCACCACGGGCACCGCCTCTGCTTCCTCCCCGGAATCCGGCCCGACCTCTACCTCTTGGGCCCATTATATCTTACTTTCTGTCAGTGCAAGTTCTGGGTAAACACAGACAGCAATGTATGAGCTTTCAAAAGAAAAAAATAGATCAAAAAGTGTTGTTCACCGAAGCAAAACTCATTCACTTGGTCGACGGAAAAAAAGTTATAAGTCGGCCATATCAGCCTTGCAGAAAATCCCACACTAGGTAGTCACTAGCCACAGCGGGGCACTTCCGCCACAGAGACCGTTATCGTGTCTTATCTTAGCGCGCACAACCCAGTAGGGGCCAACCACAAATCGCAAAATCGGCAAACCGCCCACTAGGAGAAAGCGAAAGAGTTCGACGATTTTTTGAAGCGACCTATCGCGAAAAAACGCTCCGACCAGAGACCCCAAACCCACTCTTCAATTTTTGGCCCGCGCATCACCACCAACCCGAAACCCGCCCTCCCCCTCCCCTCCTCTTCTCGATATCTCCTCCTCAACCGCAGGTCTCCCCCTTCGAAAGAACCTCGACGACCCGAGATCCAACCTGCCCAGCATGGCTGTCGCCGAAACTGAGAAGTTCCTCCACCTGTCGCGGCCCATCGCGCCGGCCACGATTGGCATCCCAGGCAACATTGCCCCGCTCACCGTCAACATCCAGCCCCAGGTACGACACATCTTGCTACGCTGCAGGACCTGATATCATTACCCGAGACATGTCATAGACCTTAACAAGGCCATGACATATATACACATTCATCATTAATACAGCTTACCCCCCGTGGGGAACCCCAACTACTCGTCGCTAACCCCACCTCCTCCTTCCAGGCCATCCTCTCCATTCTCGACCATGCCGTGCGAAGAGACATCCGCGATACGCAATCAACCCGCGTTATCGGCGCCCTCGTTGGTGTCCGCTCCGAAGATGGCACTGAGGTCGAAGTGCGCTCCTGCTTCGCCATCCCCCACACCGAGAACGAGGACCAGGTCGAGGTGGACGTCGACTACCAGAAGAACATGCTCGCCCTCACCCTCAAGGCCAACCCGCGCGAGTCCCTGTTGGGCTGGTACACCACCACCCACGAGCTCAACTCCTTCTCCGCCCTGATCCAGAACTTCTTCGCCTCCCCCGAGACCGGCACCTTCCCCCACCCCGCCGTCCACCTCACCATCAGCACCGACCCGACCTCCGACATTGAGGCCCGATGCTACATCTCCGCCCCCGTCGCCGTCAACGCCGAGCGCGCCGCCGAGAGCTGCCTCTTCATCCAGGTGCCCCACAAGCTCATGTACGGCGATGCCGAGCGCAGCGCCCTCGAGGCCATCTCCATGGCCAAGGACACCGAGGACCGCACCGCCCCCGTCGTCTCCGACATTGAGGGCCTCGCCCGCTCCATCGAGTCCGGCGCCAACCTCATCGAGCGCGTCAGCGACTGGGTCAACGGTATCCTCGACGAGGACGAGGAGCCCAACCAGGCCCTCGGCCAGTACCTCATGAACGCCCTCTCCCTCGCGCCCAAGGTCGACCCCGAGCAGATTGAGCACGACTTCAACAACCACATCCAGGACGTCCTCATGGTCTCCTACCTGGCCAACACCATTCGCACCCAGATCGACCTGTCGCAACGGCTGGCTGTTGCCAACCTCACCGGCGGCGAGAAGGACGGCGAGGGCAAGACGACCGAGGGCGGCGAGAAGGGCGAGCAACAGCGGGGTGGTCAGCGTGGCGGCAAGCGCGGTGGACGCGGCGGCGGCCGTGGTGGTGGCGGCCAGAGGGGAGAGCCCAGGGAGCCCCGCGAGCCTCGCGAGCCGAGGGAACCTACCGAGTAAAGAAAAAAGGGGACAAGCTAATTTGTTTGAGAAAGAAAAGAAAAAGAGAGGAATTTCTCCTTTTACATGCAAAAAGCCATGTGGAAGAGAGGACTGAACCAAACCTAACACCCCTTAAAAAGGAGATAGGAGGTCGAGAGGTTGAAAGAGACCTAGGACAAGCTGGCCCGCGATGCTGTGGAATTTTCTGCCGCAAGGTTAGCAAGCATGGCATCATGAGGAATCCACACTTGATAAAACCATCATGGCGTTATGGCAGTGGCAGAATTAGACGGCCTAGGGTAGAATGCGCTAGGCAGTTGCAATGATGATTATTCACGCTTTCATGCAAATATTCAAGACACACACACACTAGAGATGTCTGTTCAGCTTGCGACGTACGTAAACTTTGAAAAAAGGTTTGAGTGATAATTAAGGTGCGTAAGTGTTCTAGCATGCAATAGCCTACATGATCTGATGCCATCCTATCCCTCCTGTGTGAACGCCAGTATGCTGTACCTTTAAAACCCCTGTACGCCGTTCATTCTGCCATGGACCGTCCAACAACATCAAGCGTGTACCTAAATACCCATGTTTGGCTTTTGCGGCAAAGTAGCAGGGTTGCCGTAGTGGGGCAGGTGGCTGAACGTCTGTCCAGCCGGACCCTGAGGGATGGCGGGTTTATTGGGAATATGAGGGGAGGGGTTTTGTGGTATGTGTTGCGGGGGGTGTTGAGGAATATGATGAACCGGTGCTTGAGGCATAGGGTTCAAGTGATGAGGGTGCTGGGGCGGAGGCGGGTGGTAGGAAGGAATCGAGTTGTTCGATCCTTGCCTCGCCATGGCATAGCCGTAAGGTGCTGGTGGTCCTTGCTGCTGATAACCGGCGTATGCCAGATGTGGTGAGCCGATCTGGGGGCTACCGTGGTGAGATCCAGGAGCACTGAATGGCGGCTGTGGTGGCTGCATCGGAGACATGCCACCCCCAGGGACGAATGATTGCGTCTTGGGATTGAAGGCGTGGCGATTGTAGCTGCCGGGGATGGGATGCTGGCTCTTTGGGTCGTTCGGGTTGATGTTGGCCGGCAACTGCCCGTACATGTACGGAACAGTGCTTTGACTGGGCGGCGCCGACATACCCCGAGGCGTGTAAGCCGTGGCATTAGCCGTCGAAGGTGGAGTCATCGGCACCGGCGCCGGTCCGAACCCTGGTTGTGGTTGCCAACCTTGCTGTGGAGGAGTAGGGCCAGAACCACCATAGCTCCTCGCATTCGGAGGAGCTTGGAACTGGGCCTGGTTTGCCGGAGGCGGATACTAGTCCCGATCAGCTTTATGAAGTTGAGGACGGAAGAGTTTTCTTACCGGTGTCATGTTAGGATAGCCCGCATTGTAGCCCGCGTTAGGCATCATGGGAGCAAATGTTTGCGTGGGTGTAGTGTTGTAAGGGGCTGCGGGGATCTGATTGGGATACGGTTGCTGCACCAGCGCACCGTATTGGTTTGACACAGGAACATACTGAGGTTGAGGCACCCAAGTCTGCTGCTGCGGCCCCCAGTATGGTGTGTAGTTGTGTCTCGAGTCGAAACTGTCTGAATCATCCCGTCTCTGCTTCCCAGTCTTGCCCCGTTTGCTGACACCAGGCTTTTCCCTCGCCGAAACGGAGCTGGCACGTGAAACGCCATTTTCGATTTCGTTATCTTGGAACACGATCAGTGGCGGTCCGAAGGAAACGTAATAGTCACACATACCAGGCGTAGATTCCCCAGTCTTCTCAGAATTGCCGAATATTCTCTCTCGGGCTTGCTTGTACGCTTCTTCACGCTGCTCTCTCGACAATCTGAACAAGTCAGCAAGTTGCAATCATTCGAGGAGGAAGGGCAAAATACTTCTGATTGGCCGCAGCAGACTTATCCTTAGAGTCACTGCCGGTCTCAGACGTTGCCTTGGATGGAGAAGCGCTGTTGCTACCGAATTCCCCATCCTCCCCACGTCGCATGATCTTTCGAGGCAGGACCGCTGGAGGAGGAGGCGTTTCGGCATTGGTTTCCGGAGCAGCGATACTAGCAAGCGACTCAGGTACTCTGGCGTAAGGGGTTCTGAAGATTCGGACAGATCCCACACGAGCTTCATACTGATGCGTCATGCGGTAGTAGTCAGCCAGCTTATGTGTGAGCATCCTACAAAATGAATTTGAAGGCGGAAAGTCCATGTACGGGTCTCTGATATCGCTGTTAGTGACTGCACATTGATTCAATCCGTCGGTACTCACTTGGAATTTTGAACAAATTTGATCAATTCGGCCTCCAATCGCAATAGAAACAGTCGATCCTTCGGGGAAGCCATAGCCTCCAAGAGTTTTTCATCCGGTGCCTGTCCGTAGATGGTATTCAAGAGATTGGCAGAGTCGGGGAGATTAGCAGACAGAGCGTTAGGGATGGGCATCTGTGGTTGATCTGACGAAGCACTCTGCGGTGTGATCATGCCTTGGCTCAAGGAGCCGGAGATAGGTTGGGCTAGACGGCGATCGGGCATGTCGCCAAGCTGGATGATGCCTCTAGCACGCGCCGCAATGTCGGAACCCATTCTGGAGTTTGGTAGGTTTGGCCCCCGGAATGAGAAGGAATCGTCATCCTCGGCAGCAGCGGCTTTGACGCTGGCACTGTCATCCGGCCTCAGGGATTCCTTCTCGTCCAGCGCAAAGGTCGTTCCCGACGTAATACTCTTTCCGTCCAGACTGGGAGGCTTGGTACCGAGCTCCGAGCTGGAGTCAGCTCTCTGGGAGTCGTCCGACCCATCCTTGGTTATAGATTTTGATCGCTCAGCGTACGAAGAGCCTGTTCCGTTCACAACAAGGCTCGGTGTCGGTTGCCCAATGCTCAAATCCTTCAATCCATCCAACACGACACCGGTCGCATCGGGCTTCTTGGACAGGGTGGGCTCGCGCTTAGCGACAGTCGGCGCAGACTTCGTAGAGTTCATGATTGCGGATTGGCGAGTATCAACTGCGTCTGAAGTGGCAGATGCGGGTATGGAGGCGGCACCGGTAGAAGAAGCTTGGCTGGGACGGGCTTGAGCTGGCGCAGCAACTGGTCTGACGGTAGTGACGGGTTGGGAATCTTTTGATGCCGATGCAGCGACCTAGAATAGCGCAGAGATTGTCAGCATTCATCACTAGGCAACTACTGAGCTTCGAGAACGAGGGGTAGCTCGGGAGCAAATCGCACCTTTGCGAAAGATGGCTTAGGAATGTCAGATGGCATCTGGGCTGTAGCCATAGCCAGTGAAGAGGTTCGGAGGATGGCCCAACTTCAGCCGTGGGTAGTGAGATGGAAATGAAAGTCGTCCACTGAAGTAGCTTCGCGCAGGTAGAATGGTAGGCGCGCGATGAGACGAAATAAGAGACCGGGTCAAAAATGATTAAAGACGAGGTCCGAAAGCAAGGAACAAACTGGATCAAGGCGAGCCTGCAGAGGAAGAAATACCGTGGATCATCGTCGGGACAAGGTCGTCATCGTAGCTTTTGGATTCCTGAATGTTGGATGAATGATGGACCCAGTTTCTCGTTGCAGGGGAGAAATGGGAGTTGTCCGTTGCGTGTTTCGTCGTCGAATAGATGTGCGCCTGAGTGACTATCCGTCAGTGGTTGTGGGAAAGGTTGGTTGCAGGAAGCTGGTAGATAGGCGCGCAGCGGTTGAGACGAGGCGACGTGAAATTTTGGCGGCCTGTGAGGCGGATAGTCCGTCACGGGCTTGGGGGAGAGGGGTGTGGTGTGGGTGGTGTGGTGCAGACGATGGTTTAAGGTAGTGGGAGGGAATTGGTAGAGCTGTGGTGTGGGTTTTTGGGATTGCGCTGCAAAGGGAAAAAAGAGGATGGGGAAACTGGAGAACGGAGCCAACGACCTCTCAGCTTCTTGTTCACTCACCCCGGGTAACTTGCAGTGCGAGATCAATCACTCACGCACTCCTCACTCGCTAGGTCCAATAAGTACTGATATCCGTAATCCGATGACAACGTTATGTCTCAATCTCACACTCGTGTTGCGTGAGGCCCTCTCACACATACACACACACACACACACTCTCTCTCTCTCTCTCTCTCTCTCTCTCTCTCTCTCTCTGTATTCTCTCAGTTGCGAGGTATCTTCGGTCGCAGAGACGTAGTAGAGAACCTTAGCGAGAAGCTTCAGTGTTGGCAACTCCCAATCGAGCGGACAACGGTCTCAAGTCGATAAGGTGGTGTCAGACGGCTGCCATCCCCTCCGCAACGTCTTGTGGGACGTCAGGCTGAAGAGTCGGGTATGATTGGGAACGGAATACGGGAATTCTGATGACCATCAAGCAGGTCTCGGGCCTGGGTAGGGTAGGTTAGTTGGTGAGAGACAAAAAGACCAGAGGCTGTGCCGAGAGTGGCTTAGTGCCGGCAGATTCCTAACGGAAACCTTGGGTCTGTGGCTGGTGCCTCTGAGGCTGGTGCAGGTTTTCCGATCCTTTCCTCCACCTTACATAAGCGTCCGAGTTGCCCATCGTTGGAGCCAAACCTCATTCCTCTGTCGCTGAAGTAAACCACTTTCTACAGAGCTGGTTACAACTGAAATTCAGCTGCAACGGCGAAACACCAAAGAGCCCGTCGCTGATAATAGAACACCAGTGTTGTATCAAAGGCTCGCGTACCAAGCAAGAAAACGGAAGAAAATCTCATCTGTTGATCCCATCATAGCGGATCATCAATCGCCATCCAGACTTACAACAGTGCGATTCCAATAAAAACCTGATTGAAGACGCCAGCGCAACGACGGCTATTCAAATTACGGCAAACCCTTCGCTCAAGTAGCGAATCTATTCAATGCATCCCTACAGAGGCCGTGGCGGACCTCGCCAGTCCACCCCAGCAAACGTCCAATGTCAAAAGTGTCTCAAAAGAGATAAGTCTACAAGCAAACCATACGTTGCAAATATCAAGCTGACTCTCGCAGAACGTCACTACTCTTATGAATGCAAGGAGTCGGCTACGGCTCGACCATATGTGTCTCGGCCGTCCCGAACTCAACAGCTGCGCAACCCGAAGCTGATGCCCAAACTGACAAACGATACGCCAGATGACGCGCAAAGAAAGTCAGTTTCTCACCTTCGTTTGTATTTCATGCGTTCAAGGTGGCTAATTCGTGGAGTAGGAAAGGAATCGCCGATGAGGAGCTCGCGAAGAAGGAAGCTGAGCGAGCGAGAAAGAGGGAGCTGGACGAGAGAGATGACGAACTCATCAGGCAAACAGAGAGTAAGCGCAGACGATCCGAGTCTGTTGACTCCGTTTCCACCATCTCAACAAACCGCTCCGTATCGCCTCCTCCTAGGCGGCGCTCGCCATCTCCCGCCTCTGCTCTGCGGAGACAGAGGTCGTTTAGTCCGGAGAGCGACGACGGTCGCTCTGTCTCAGGAAGGTCAGCAGCAAGCAGACGGACTCAGTCCCCACCTCGACGCCGCCAGAGATCACTTTCAAGGGACAGTCGTTCACCCGTTGGAACCCAGGAGCAGAACTATCGTCAGAGGGATGCGGATCACGCTAGACCAACGGCCAGTGGTCATGCGCGCTACTCGCCCGATTCCAGGGATTCATCCACCTCAGGACGTGGTATGGATGCTGTTGGCAGCAGGAGGTCGTTGTCCCGGTCTCCCGACCGTCGTGGTGCGAGGCCACAAAGCGGCCCAAATCGACGTGCTGGCAGAAACGACGGATATCGAGACGAGCCTCAGCCTACACTGGGCCGAGGTGGCGAGAACCAAAGGCAGGGTGGTGGATCTGAGCGACAGCCAGAACGAGAGCGCAGTCTCAGTCCATTTTCCAAGAGACTGGCGTTGACACAGTCCCTAAATAGGTAGCTATGGGGTATCAATTATATGTAGGTCAAATGGAGTCTATGCCTGCTCCGTAACTGTAAAAACACAAAGGCATTCTGCCACTCGCGCCAGGATTTGCTGCTTAAACAGCCAAATCGTCATCCTCCTCGTCCGCCTTCTCTCGTCTCTCGTCCTCTTCTTCCCTCTCGCGTACGCGCACTCCTTCCACTAATGCAATACCATCAATTCCAGCTGCGTCGCCCTCCCTGCTGCCTGCATCGACTTGCTTGGTCTGTGTAGCCGCTTTCTGAGCTCCTGTGATGCGTTCCCTTACTAGCTTCGCAATAGCATTGTCCGTCCGAACGTTGAGAATCTCCAGCTTCTTCTCCAAGTCTCTCTTCAGGTCCCAATTCGGCTTTTTGGGTTGAAGCTTGAACAGATCGATACCCTTGTCATCCTGCGCATCTTCGGTTGCCTTTTGCTTCACATCCTCCTCAATGTCTGCCGCGAGCTCTTCCAGTGTAGGATTCTCTAGGTCTTGGGTCGGGGGCGCCTCGAAGCCAAGCTTGGGACCACGCGTTTCTGGGTCGTAGTTGCGCCCGGAAAGGTGCAATTTTGTGACGTCCGGCTCTGTTGGGGGCGAGGCTGCGCGTTCTGACTCTGGCGCAACGATCTCATCCGCTGGTTGTTTTCTCTTGAGGTTCTTGAGCTTCGCGAGGCGCGCTTTGCGCTCGTCTGTTACCGCGCTTAGGGTGGCTTGGGAGCTCGACATGATGCTGTAATAGAGAAAGACTGATCGAAACGAACGATATTGTGGTAGGTTGGCCAGATATTCTTCGAATTGGAGTGTTGGTGAGATTGCGGCTTTTGGTGAGCGCGTTCAATCGGGAGTTTGGAGGTTGAAAGTTCAAGTTCGGTTCGCAGTGGGGCAAGCCATTGCTACGATGGCGGGATACTTCCACGAAATGCACTAGCGGATGCACGGTCTTCCATCCTTCAAAATCGCATTTAGCTCGCCAGGGGTCTATGAGAAGCTACCATCTGTCGCAAAAAAACAAAATAAGACTCCAGTTCACAGACTACAGCCTCAAACTTCGGATACTTTACCCTCGATGCTCCAAGACAGTTAACAAAATCACGGTCGCACCGTCGTCGCTCGAATGCCGGCGAAGCTATACCTGTCCGTAACGACCGGAAGCTCTGGCTTTAACGCCCCGATATTACACCTGCGATGTCGCACTCCTTAGCAGGCCGACAATGTCTACGACACATCCGACAACGCGGCAACCTCGCAGCGAATAGTTATATCCAAACGTCCTTCCAAGCTCGACCCAATGCTACTTCCGCTATAGAACCCTCCACAGAACGGCCGTTTCGAATTCGCAAAATAAAAAGATTAGTCGAGCCAGGATCGAGAAATGCGCCAACGCCTATCGGAGCACCCATAAATGCCGAAACAAGCCGGAAACGAACAGAGTTCACCTCGAAAAACATCGACACATGGTCCCCTAAGAATGGAGGAGAGAGGAAGAAGAAATACGAATTCACATCAGGAAATGCCGACACCTGGATTTCTGAGCTCGTAAAAGAGAGGAAGAGAAGATACCTGGAATATGGGTACCTCCGCCATCGCATGACCAAGAAGGAGTTGAAAGACTTTGAGAATTGGAAAAACGACTGCAAAAGACTGTACGGATTCGCATCTTTCGGCGAAGGCTACAAAGTCCCAAAAGTCCTCAGCTGGATCCAAGACCGTCAAGCCGTTGAAGACGCGATCGAGCAATGGCCGACATGGACTGAGGAGCAGAAGAAGACAAAGTGGCGAAAGCTCATGTTCTCTGCTTTATGGTCTTGTCCTGATCGGGCTACAGCCATACTCGAAATTACCACCCGCGATATCAAGCCGCCGGGTTACGCCATCAGTGATGCTATTCACTTCCTCGCAAAGTGGCAAAGTCAACTATCCAAGCCTGAGTTTACTGAGCAGAGAACACATCTTTGTAACGTGGTCGTGACGGTCTTTGAACGTCTGCCTGCGGCTTATATCCCCCTGAGGCAAAACACCATCTACATGCTGACGCATGAGGTAGAATTGCCCACCTTGATTGCCCTTTACGATTGTTGGAGGGAAAAGGACGTCCGACTCCACAGCAACACTCTCCAAAACATGGCCAGACGGCTTGCAGTCAGCCCCTTACATAAGAACCTAGCTCTCCAGATGGCCATCGATTCTATCCCAGACCAAGGTGTTGATCTCGACTCAGGCCTATGGGCATCTTTGTGTACCTCAATCTTGAGTCTCAAGCGTGGCCAAATCAAGGTTGACGACGGGTTTTCAGCTGCGGACGCATTTGTTACCCTTATAGAGCATGGCTTTGCTCCCAACATGGTGCACTACACGGCAGTGATCAGGTCGCTGTGCCTGACAGATCAGAATGAAGTTGCAGAGGAGGTGTTCCGGGTTATGCAGCGGCACAACTTTGAACCAGACATGATCATGTGGTCTACTCTGTTAGACGGAGGAAAGCGAGCTCTTTCGCCGTCGAGTATCGAATCTGCCGTCATAGGAGCTGTCGAGGGCAATGAGATTGACGTTCCCTTCTTCAACGACCTACTGATGTGCCTGCTTCACTTCTGCAAGTGGACGCCCGGTGTCATGCCGGCCTTTGGGCCAATGTTACACTTCTACTCAAAGGTGTTCCATTTGGCACCATTGCAGGCTCTCCTTCCGGTGGACCTGTCAATGTACCTCGAGGGCCAAGAAGGCCTGCAGATGCCAGCGGATTGGGAGTTGGCGCGACAACTATTTCCTGCACTTGACAGAGCCATGTCCACCGTCCATGAGAAGATGGAACCGACGAGTGCAACCCTGAGCATCATGTTCCTCGCATACGTGAGGAGCATGTCACAGCCCATCAACCTCATTTCACTATACGCGTACCTCAGACAGGAGATTTTGAAGGGCAGCCCCGGCGCCACCAAGCTGGTGCAGGAGAAGGGGTCATTCATGTACGATGTCCTTATCAAGGCGCTCTGCAAGCACCCAGGCATGCTTCGTGCCGCGTTGGATATCGTCGGCGACATGCTCAAGTACACGCTTGAAGAGCGGAGCAGAGCAGCCGACGCAGCGAAGCAGTCCTCGAAGGGGAGAAGTGGCAGCAGGAGGACTGAGGTTAAGGAGACCGAGATTCAACAGACTGGGGCTCAAGATAGACAAGCACAGGAGAGCAAAGTCCCGCAGAGCGAGATCAAGGAGACCGAGGTTGCTCCCGCGCCGCTGCACCCTGCTCCAAGCGTCTTCACCTGGAGCATCCTCCTGCACGGCTTCAGTAAGGAAAAGGGCTCCGGGGAGCGGATCCTCGCGCAAATGCGCCAGCACGGCGTCGAGCCGAACCTGGTCACCTGGAACACCCTGATCGCGGGCTACGCCAGGGCTCAGGACGTCAATAAGACGGTGCTGTCCCTCCAGCGCCTCGAGGCCTCGGGTCACGAGGCGGACGACTTTACGCTGCGGGCCTTTTCTCGGCTGGTCAACAGGGAGCTCGCGCTGAGGAAGATGGAGGACGCTCTCACGCGGAGGGCGACGCGGGACGAGATGAAGAGGCTTGAGGAGCAGAGGATGGCCGAGCTGCCGCTTGGTCCTGAGGCGAAGGGGAGGCTGAGTGTGCTGTGATCGGCGGGCGATCAACGTATGGATATAGGAGCTGACGAGACGCTGGATTCATTTTTGAATGGCAATATACCCACTCTTCTTATTTACTTCAGACGACGAGCGATGTCCGACTTCTTTGATTTGAGTGCAACTTCGTGTCTGCTGTGAGAACTGTGTATTTACTTTCCAAGCTTCACCTATGGGAGTGTATCAAAACCTTGTATAAGCCCAAGTGGTATTCCCAGTCATGCAGCCAAAAGTGACTTTCAAAAGAAAAAGTACGATCTGCTGCACTTGGAATACAATAGAAGGTTGGGAAGAGGTGACAAGGCCACTAGCATGCATGAGGCTCTGTTGCCTTCCGTTTCGACAGCGATCGCCATAACTTGATTCCCCTCGTGTGAGTGCTACATTTATACATGGAGGTTATTGTGCGTCTCTACCACTCCTGTATTGTGAGCCTCAAACAGGTGACAAGATCAACATCTCCACTGCACGGTTGCCTACCGGACTGGTAAAAGACTAGTTGGGATTAGCCGCCTGACTTCACATTTCATCTGATCCTATCACCGTTGTGACCATGTTCCCGGCCCACATATGAGCACTACTCGATCCGGTCTGCTGCAGACCTTCTCAGCTTTGCCATTAGGCTATCACATCACTTACTGGCGGTCGAATGAGACAGCCCTTGCGTGTTGCCACTCTGGAACGGTCTTGCTGGAAGTCCTCCGACATAGCTAACTGTCAAGTCGAATGAGGACAAGAAGCTTCAGGGCCTTACTCTGAGCTGAGATTCACGCGCGGTCGGCCTTGCTACACCCGTCCCATCTGATAACGGCACGTATGCGGCGCATTTAGCTGTAAACGGAGGCTTTCACTCAGGGCAAGTTCATAGATGAGTAGTGGAGAACTAGCTCTTTCCCAAGATTGGAAAATGTTGCGATATGTGAGTTTGGTGGCGCACAATGACTGGACATTTCGCCGCGCAAGATACAAGTAAGAATTCTGACATTCGACGTATGCATCATTGACCGAGCCTCGCTTTTCGTAACTACAATTGGTGTGTATATCATTACAAATCCGTTGCCCAGCCCCTGGCCGCAGTGGCCTGATGCAATGAGCAATTTGGAAGCCTCCCTCCCTCTGTACGAGGCCCTACCAAGCACTGAGCATGGCCAATCGACCCTTCTCTGCTCTTGCGGGGCGCATCAAGCACGCCCCAACCCCTATTTTTGTTTCCCTTATGTGAGCTTCTGCTTGATGAAGAATGACCGCAGGTGAGACAATTGCCAGGTGCAGGTAACAGCGAGAACGGTGAGCTGGATAAGCATCCATCTGATGACACGGGCGTTGGTGGATTCGGACTGGTCTCTGAACTCGGCTTCGCGTTCCTGATTCGTTTTCGTCAGCATTGCTTGGTACCTTGGTACACATTGGCGCCAGATGGACGCCATATCTCCCGTCTCGAACAGTGGGAGAGAAAGCTTCTGTATCGGCTCTAATGGTGGAAGACTTACACGCTGGAAGACTTGCTCCCTGCGAATATCCTGCAGACGAGCGTTAAGGTCCTTGACGCGGGTCGCGATATCCTCGAGCTTGCTCTTGTCGGAGCTCTCGATCTCGGTGCTCTCGCCAATAGCGAGGTCAAGTGTCAGACGGATACCACCGTTGTGGGAGTGGAGCGAGAGCCAGCCGGCGCGGCCAGAGGTGGAAGAAGGGGTGAAGCAGAGCATGTGGTCGCCGGCGTCGGCAGCCGTGAAGGTGAAACGACCTGATGCCTGGCCGCGCTGAGAAACCACACGGTGGTCGTTGTCGAAGGTTTCCTACGAGGTAGATCATCAGCATGGATTTTCTTCTTGCTCTTGTGGGCACGCCAGTAAGAGTGACCCGGGTGCCTATAGCTATGTGGTAGCTCCAAAGGGGGGGGGGGGATGCGCGACCAAGGGGTTTGACTTACATCAACGGAAATGTAGATGCTGAGACCATCGTGCTTGGCCCACTGGTTGATCCGGTCATCCCACTCCTCGGCAGTGTAGTGGCCAACGACGAGCGTGTCCTTGGGGAGCTCCTCGAAGAAGCACTTGGGCGAGGTGCCGTCAATGTAGAAGTACAGCGCCTGAGCGACTGCGCTCAGCGAGAGCAATGGGAGAAATGGCCTCATGTTGTCGACGACGGAAGTTGAATGCGACTGACGAAGTGTAGGGCAAACCGCAGGTTTTTCGGGGCAGGGTCGATTCAAATTCGCGGTGCTCGTCGTCTGTCGGCTGTCGAGGGGGTGTAATTGTAGATGCTTCGTTTCTTCGAGTCGACAGCGCCAGGTCAGCCAGTTCGCTCGGGTACCCACATTAAAGTCCCAGGGTGCGCGGGAGTAACTCTCAAAGCTGCCACGTTCGAAAAATTGGTGGTGGAACAGGGGTGGCACTGGCCACTACCTCTTGGAACTTGGGGGAGGAAGTGGATCACGTGCAGTCCCCAAACGACAGACTGCGCGCCTGCCAATGCGACCTGCGCGTCCAAGGAAATGTACCTTTTTTGGATTCGAGATTTCGGATAACAGAAGCATTTGTAAGTCTCCGTCTTTCTTCGACGGAAACCACTCCATGAAACCACGAAGCTCACTGTCATCGACGAAATATCCCGAAAATAACTATACGACACCCGTTTCCTTGATGCATGTGACAACTCAGCGATAAATTGATGCCATCGAGCAGACTAGTGGCAATCGTCAATCGAAGATAAAATCCGCCCTTCCGACCATTCGCGCAGCATCACAACTACTCTTCAGCCAGCTCTTCCCTCCTCCCTACCCACCGCGATTATGACGTCCTCCGACGTGCGAGATGTCCTCAATCTCCCCGACAGCCACGGAGGCCCCCGACCGGCGAAAAAACAGAAGACGTCCGGCCCGCGGCCGAATCTCAAGGGTCTCGCCCGTGAGGTCCAGAATCTGGGCGGCGATAACCCGATCGCCATCGTTCCTGAAGTATCGATCTTCAAGAAGCGGCGATTCGCAAGCAGGAAACCGGCGACAAAGTGGGAACTTAAGCCTTTCACAAACTCAGCACGGGGCGACAGCGGCGCATTAGTACTGAAGCACTGGAAACGCAAGACACCGACGGCTACGGAAAATGGGCACCAGGGTGGCGACGCCGAAATGAAAGATGCGGAAGGGGAGCAGGCAGTGGTGAAGCCCGAGAACTCAATGTTTGCGAAATTCAACGTGGAGGTGGATGTGCCGCAGTACAGCGAAGACCAGTACCGGACGAACCTGCAAAACGACGACTGGAGCAAGGAGGAGACGGATTACCTGCTAGGGTTGGTAAAGGACTTTGACCTACGGTGGCCGATCATATGGGACCGATACGACTACTTGCCAGAAGCGATCAATGGAGAGGCGTCGGCAGACGGGGACGAGAGTAAGGCTATCATCCCCGTGCCGAAACCAAGGACGATGGAGGACCTCAAAGCGCGCTACTACGACGTTGCGGCGAAGATGATGGCGGTGCAGAAGCCCGTTCAGTACATGACGCAACCCGAGTACACCCTTCATGAGCTCATGGCCAACTTCAACGCCAACCAGGAGAAGCAGCGCAAGGACTTCGCCAACAACGCGCTTACCCGGAGCAAGGAGGAAGCCAAGGAGGAGGAATCACTACTACTGGAGATCAAGCGCATTCTCGCACGCAGCGACCGTTTCAACGAGGAGCGTCGGGAGCTCTACAACCGTCTGGACTACCCACACACTGACCAGGACATCAGCGCGTTCAAGTCCAGTGCTGGCTTACAAACTCTACTGCAGAACCTGATGAATGCCGACAAGTCCAAAAAGCGGAAGTCGCTCATGGCAGCGGACGGCGTCAGCCCCTCCGCGCCCGCGGGACAACAGCCCGCGGCTGCAGCGACAGCGACGGCCGCGTCAACAGACAACAAAGACCGCCGCGAGAGCATTGCTGCTGCGGCGGCTGCGACCCCGGCGGAGAAAACACAAAAGGAACCTCCCAGCAGCGTCGCGCAGACACCGACGGCGCCGGCAGGCGGAAAGAAGGGCCAGCAGCAGCAGGAACGCCGCAAGCTCAACGATGCCGAGATGCACGTCTACGGTGTCACGCACCACGACCGCCTGTCTAGTGGACCGACGTTCCGCTACGAGAAGATCAACAAGCTTTTTACACACAAGTCGAACCAGCAGCAACTGCGCATCATGAACACGCTCAACGAGCTCGACATCCCGCCAAGGCTAGTTATGCCGACAGCACCGGTAACAGCCCAATACGAGCTCCTGCTCGGCGCCGTCAACAGTCTGCTTGATGCTAGAAAGGTCACGGACAAGATTGACGCCGAGATCAAGCTCGAGCTGGCCAAAAAGGCGGAGCGCGAGAAGGCGAACCAGCCAGAGCCCGACCCGGCTGCTGAGAAGAAGGAAGGCGAAGGTCAAGGCCAGTCTACGGAAGAGAAGAAGGACAAGACCACCGCAGGGGGCGAGGGCGAAGGCGAGAGCGAGGCAAACGTCGAACCTAAAGCTGCCGCCGAGCCATCCAAGGATGATGAACCCAAAACCAACGGAGACGCCGGCGGTGGGGAGGCAACTCCCGCTGCGGACGGGGACAAAGCAGCTGCCGTAGCAGCTGCTGCGCCGGCCGCGACGGAGGAGGGCAAGGGGGACGCGGAGAAGGAAAAGTCAGCGCGACCGGGGAGCAGTGGGGCAACACATAAACGGAGCGCCAGCGTCATGAGTGCCGGGGGCGAGGAGAAGAATGCCAAGAGGCAGAAGAAGTGAAGCAAGTGAAGGCCATGTACCGTCAAAGTACCGTCAGACAATCAGGTACTTTGCCTTCTAGCTACGCAAGGCGCTACGCGCCGTGACGAAGATGGATGAAGTGCCTTACGATATGTATAATCACACACACACAATTGAGATTGAACCTCGAAGGAGTCATCTCCGCGCGTGACCAACCACCCCCTTCCTCTTAGGCCGGGGAGTGGGGCGTGATGGGAGATGCGAGCGCGAACTGTCGGTGTATGGATTATTGGTCAAAAGGGCCGCGGCAATATTTTGGAACCAAGATGTGGGAGCGTGGACAGGGACGGGTAAGGGTTCAAACTACAAAGTTGATTGGGCTGGTTTAGGTATCGAGGCAGAGCGATGTGGGAAAAGCCGCCGCGTCTACGGAGTTTGTCTGGGGTTAGTGGGAAAATGTACAAAAGCTTGAAACAAGGAAAATAAGAAACAGGACTGCTGCTTTTGCCCGACGTTGCTGGGTATCTTTGCTTCACGTGGGCGTTGTGACCGGGGGTACGTCTGGATGATGTGCCCATGTCTTGACGAAGTGCCCATGTCTGGATGATGCGCCCATGTCGTAGTGGGATGAAGTAGCAATGGGAAAGGAGGATCATGAAACAAAAAAACGCCGATAGGTATGCAGAAGAGCCGGAACCTAGCGGTGGGCAATATCAAAATGCTGCACCTCGAGGTAACCTTGTCGCTTTTGCCCCGCGCTTACACATTTGTATGGATGTCGTGTAAGTTGGTGTTGTTACAACGATATCGTGCCAGGGTTATGGAGTACAGGAGGCAAGTTTGACAACTCAAAAAGGGAGAAATGGAATAAGTCTCTGCAGTTCGCTTCTTTTACAATTATAATTGCGGCGGGATTAGAGGGTGGTTGCGAGAGATAAGGGTCCCTTCGGTGTAGGGGAACCCATGAAGTTCAACGCAGGACGTGACGTCTCATTAAGCAAGATGCAGCTCATAGGCGGCTGCAGGTGAGGCTAATCATCTTAATATAGCAACGGCAGCTAAAAATATCGACGTGGAGAGCGGTTACGGTTGGGAAGGTGACTGATCATAGCATGCCGCTTGCCTCGGAGCCGGGTCGTATAGTCTGCTGGAAGGGGGAAGGGGGGTTTATGAACGCACGAGACTGCCAGGGCCCTTTAGATCTCTGGACCCGCCTGTGACGAGACTGGCCGGCCCAATGATTGGAGGCCGATCGAAATGATGTCGGTGAAGGTCTTCGTGCCACGATCGTGCTTCTATTGACTTCAGGGTCCTAGTTCTGTTGTGTCCACGGATGGGGGTGTGAGTCGGAGGGCGTCAAGGTTGAGCGGCGGCCGCGTCAGGGACCTAATTGGCAATCTCGAGATCTTGCCTGCAGGGGAGAAGAGTTTCATACATATGGAGAGGGAGGTTAGACGAGGTCCAGAGAAGGAGGCGTCGGCGTGACGCTGGGGAACAATGGGCTCGGCTCCGTGTCTAGCCTTAGGTATCCTGGGCGTCGGTTCGTCGAGAGGCTGTCGTCATGCTAGAGAGCGCGGGATGTATGGTCGCTTGCGTACCTTGCAGGTTGAGAAAGCTAGGAATTTAGACATGTAACTGCTCGTCTGGCGCGTATGCCGCACGGCGCGGATACAGGGAGTGGGCTGTAGTCAGGCCTTTGGGGAAGGGGAGATCTGCAGGCCGCTCGCTCGGTCAAAGATGCCAGGACCAGGAGCGGAACTTGCTGTTGGGTCCGGTAGTTATTAATAGAGACCCAGGCGCCTCGAAAGTGTAGAAATTCATGGGTTGGGAAGATTGCCATGCCATGCGGTGGAAGAGAACTTTTCTAGAAGAAGGGTAGTCAGCAACGTGGAGTTTGACGTTGTCGTTTGCGAGGAGAATGAGGGAGCGCTTATGAGTGGGCGCTTAGTTGGAGTCGAGCGACACCATTGGCTGAAAGCCAAACTGTTGTAAGGGTTTGTGTGATGGAGCTGCGATGTTGTGCATGGCAAAGATCTTGACACTTCTAAGATTAGAAACACGTCGATATTTCTGAGAATAAGGGTCGTCTCTTGGACGACAATGGGTTTGAAAGTGACGTCTGAAGAGACATGAGGCGTGATGTGGTCAAGTTGAGAGGTGGTAGACGGGAAGTCGAGAGCCTGTCCATGCTCACGATCTATTAGGCCACATGATTAAGTACTTAGGTAGTAGACGCCATTCTGGAAAACAAGTGAAAGGATACTTTTTTTCAAAATTGAAACCGAAGAAGAGAGCCAGTCGTGCCAGTGTATCCACCCGAAGGTCACATTTCTTAGGGCCCAGGGGTCAGTTGTTTTCATCAAGGCTGCGATGATCGAGAACAATGAAGATAAAAGTATCCGTAGTTTGCAGTGAAAGAGATTGAATCGACGATACAACATACAGGGCACTCCTTCCCTACGCTTGTCAACCTAAGTTGAAGAAGCCGTGGTTTGCATCGAGTTACGGATGACTAAGGCAAGGTGGTACTGCCCGGGGACCTATCCTCAAGTACCTTAGAGTGCCGCGAGTGCCTTCTACATTAGGTGGTCGCGGGCCAAGCAGTCAATCTGTGGAGGTGCCTTTACTACGGGAGTCTTGTAACAGGTAAGGTATTCATCTTGATGGGAGCCTGGGGAAGGAACAGATCAATGGCGGCAAAATAGGAAACAGGCCGGGTGCTTTAAGGTAGGCTCTTGCCTCTGCAGGTTGATGATTCGGATACCTCCTGCCGCTTTTACCCAAGCCGAAGCTGGGCAGGTGGGCAGGTACCTGGGTCCTTCCGTCAATGGAAGTTGTCAACTGGGCAGTAGGTTCCTGACATGGAAGGCCCCTTCCCCCTGTCAGCGCGCTTGAATCTCTAAGCGGGCTCGGTAGCCCCCAAACTGCGGATGTCCCGTCGCCCGCAAAGAACTAACAACTGCAGATCGAGTCCCAGTGTTCCATTGCCCTCATCAACGTCAAGGATTTTTCTCGACGGTGCCGAATCGTTCATCGTTCCTGTGCGACCCTCCACTCTGTCCCGTCAGATTGTTTGCCAGACCCTCGTCTCCCGAGACACCGAGGCTCACACACTCTCTCGCACTCTTCCATGAGTCACTTTGGATTATTTCCATTCCCTTTCAGCAAATGCCGCCGCCCCATCGGGCTGCTATCGCCAATGAGACGCATTACCAAACTTCGTTTCGGCGGCTTTGGACCAACCACGGGCTCAGCATCTCCATAGAGATGTGGTGGGCCCGATATTTCTGTAAATTCCGGGGTGTATTATCCGCATCGCTCAATCGTCTGCTGGAAGTTGGAACCGAACGCCGTTCGTCGTCAGTCGTCGATGGCCAGGAATAGCAGCATCCTGCAGGACATTGGATGGAACGAGACATCTCCTGCGGACGATAACTACCTAAACAAGAACCAACACAATCCCATCCGGGCGCCGTCTTGTTCCCAGCTCTCGCCTTCCCCGAGCCGGCTCGAACCTTGGTCCATACAGTCCCCCTCGTTTTCTCATACCGCAGTCAATCTTACTCTAGCCACCTGATTGTTGGCCTGCCTGGTATGTATCACCGTCACATCCAACACACTCGACCGTCGTCAACACCCGATTGTACCTCGTCTGGATGGCCGGTCACCACTCTGGCACTCTGTCTCGGCTCCCGCCATAGGTCGACGTATGTACACCTATGCTGCCGTGCCCCTTTACCCCTGCCTCTGCTTACCCTACTTTATTGTCACAGTTTATCTCACCTCCACAATCCCTGATCAGTTGGTGACGGCACAATGCGACAGACGACGGACCAGGGGTTTAATTCTCGACTGCAAAAGAATACCTGAGTCCCTGACTTCTCTCGTTATCGAATCCCGTCGCCCCGCTTTTGTTCGCTTTACCAAGGTTCCCTCTTGGACTCGCCGCTCTCGCAGCTCCCTGCAACCTCGGTCCTCGAATTTGCTCCATTTCAACTCTTGATCCTGCGCCTTTCATCCCCGCTCGTCCAAAATCGCCCCTGCCTACTTCGTCGGAGGAGACCAAGATATGCCGCATTTGCCATGACACTCGACGCGTCGGCCATGTCATTTCATTACGGATCTGGCGAGACGGCCTCCTAACACATATAGCAGTTCGGCTGGCGGCCCAGAGGTTCTGCGCTGTTTGCTACCGTTGCCTTCCTTCCGTGCTCCACATCGCGGTGGTCATTCCGCATTTGTCTGATCTTTCGATGCGACAGTGGACACTGTCACACAGATGAACAACGGTCAACCAGACACAGTCGCGGAGTGGGAACCCCCATACGGCAAATACATTGCACCATTGTGCTGATGCTCTCAAACGCCTTCCATTTCGCTCCTCGTGCTTTTTGCTCCGGCTGGCCCCACGAGACGACATTCCCACAATTTCTGGTTAGGCTTTCTTCATTACCGAGCGACCAGGCAAAGGACTCACAAGCTCCACCAAGGCCAAGTTCATACGCATACAGCTATGATATTATCATTTGCAGACTTGACTTCGAGACAGTATTGTGATTCGTCGCATCGATAGACGCAAGCAACACAAGCCACGGCTTTTCTAGAGGAACTTGGCGTATACCTCGAGGAGAACATCCGCTGCCAAATACATGAGTCGGGCGATATCTCCAGGCGCCTGGTCAAAGATGCAACGACTAAGCAAAAACATAACGTCGTTTGCAAAGTCAAGTTGGGAAGCCAGTCAGCTGCAGGCCGTTCGCATTTCTGACTTAATTTTCTCCTGAATCTGATGGCCAAAGATCATAATGCCTTACCTTTGGTATGCGCAATAGACGGTGAAGGAGGTGTGCGCTTGTGCGCCTGTGTGTGACAAGATGTCAGCACTTGTGCAGCGAAATCGTGATAGCCGCATGAGTCTCCGACCAATGCAGCGCACATCACATTACCTCTGATCTAAGCAGGATGTGGAGGAATTCATCACCCTCGAGTCAAACTCTACGCGGCATCGCGAAGAGCCCATGACATCTCACCTTGAGCAACAATATCTCATGGAACGAAACCGACGGGCCAGCGTAGTCCCGGTTGCTAATATTGGACTGCCGAAGATTGGGCAAGTTGCGCCGTCGAGAAAGTCTCGTCTGTCTCGTCACAGCGCATGTGTCGAATCGAACCGCCCTGTTACTTAACTCTCCTCCTCCCGCACATCAGGGCTTCTCGTTGGCTGCATATCGACTTGTCGCGAACCAATCAGACCAGTGATGCCGCTTAGCTGCCATCACGGTAGGTGTGGGTGGGTCGCGGCGGTAAAGATACCCGGGCGAGGAGCGGAGGGCGACGCTGGTGCGGGTGGGAGGGTCGATTCGGACGCCTCCGCGCTTTTTTCTCTTTTCTTTTCGCACACCCGCCCTGCGACAAGCGCTACGCACGATGTGAAGGAAGGGGTGCAACAACTTGCGATACCCTTTGGTCTGGAGACACTTTGACCGCCGTCAGAGCCGACGACATAATGCCTTCTCTTCCAACGCCTTGCCCTCACATACGCAACAAAGAGACGAGACGAGACGAGCGGATCGGTTCCGGGCAAAGCTGGGGTAAATAGCCCAACAACGCAGACTGAAAGTCAAGTTGCCCTCTCAGTCCCACCCAGGATTGCACGGCTAAAAATAATCCACCTTGGGCTGTATCCTGGTCCATCTACATCGGAAGATTAACGTTTTTGTTTCACCCCTGCCCCGTCAGAGGGACGAGAGCAGACACCACCAATCCACCACCAGACTTGAATGTGAAGGGAACCTGGGAAAAAAAAGATGGGACAGTCACTACGGTCACTCTCTCTGAGTGCTATCGCCGAAGTCACTTCACCTGGGCTCTGTGCCGCACATCCAGACCGTCCCCATCCATCTCTCTCAAGTCTCGACAGGAACACCCACCATTCAGCCTAGGTATCTGATCCCTGAGACAAACGCCCAAAATCAACACCCCGATTAACGAGCAAAGAGATTGGCAGCCGCGATCTGTATTTCGTAGGTAGCTGTTTCCGGAACAAGACTGGCGCATGCGCTGCCGCGACCGGACAATTGCGCGGCCAGATTGTTGCGACAAACGCATGGAGAGTTACTAGTGATTGCAACCCTACAGGGTCGCTACATACCGGGAGACACCCGCGCACAGAGAATGCCACCTAGAGATGAGCGGTGCAGACGGTGCTGTTGCGTACGGATACCTCACAAGTCGAAGTCTCCCGCGACTGGTTGTCACGCTGAAGAACGGAGCCAAGGGCCGAGACACGGCTCAGCGCGGACGCGGAAATGGGACTATCCCCTCACTAATCTCACGCCAACTCAACACCAAAACCTGCTAGACGGTTGGCTTGGTGCACTGCCGCGTTTGCTAGCCCAGTTGGCGGCAGATTGCAATCGAACGGGATGACAATACGAGCCACAGCCAGCTAAGCCTGGTTGTTGACGACGATACCCGACGTTGGCGTCACACTTGAGGGTCTAGCTACGACGCTGAGCGTGCTTTTTAGACGCGGCGAAGGGAAGTGGGCTCGCAGAGAAGGGGAAGAGAAGAGAAGATGTCACTGATCGCGTCAAACTGCATGACACGGGGACCCTATCCTGACAGCTCCATTGGTTACTACATAATGATGATCAACCGCATCCGCCGGCAATGCTCGCTCTCACCTCACCACTACTACCTTGCGCCGGGGGGTACGAGGCAATTTCGCTGATAGCTCAGTCTGGTTGGCGGATGTTCACAGTATTTTCCCGTTGAGAGTGAACCTCCGTCCAATCTGAGCACCTATCGTCAGAAGGGTCATTGTTGCACACGGTAATGAAGGTCCTCAACACTCCGAAACAGCCGCTGTACCACCGCTCCATCCCGAGTCAAAACCAACTATGGCCACTATGACGAGGATGAGACCCCGTTTGACATGGACTACCGCGTGGCCATGTGCTATTTATGAAGACGTGAGCGGATGAAGGGACCAAAGGTTCGACCAGGATTGCTTCTGCACCGAGGGGCGGTCGTCCTGCGTCTTATAGCAATGGCCGGGGTGCTTGGTCCGGACCTGGTGGACCAAGCGACACCTAGGCCTCGGGGTTTCCTTTCTTCACCTTCCTGAACGTATCAAAGCCGTTTTCTGCCAGAGTTAAGAAACGTGGGAGACCCTGGCGTCAGTTCTCTGCGGCACGGCACACCTGATAATTCGACCCTGGCCAAACAGCGGTCAAAAGGGTTACAACGAGGGTCAAGCTTCGTGAGAGCGACAAGTGGAAACCAGTGTAACGCTACAGGCGGGCAGCGTCTCCGGATGCGCGAGGAGCCTTCTTGGTGAACCGCGAGAGTGTCTGACTGTCTGGAACGCTTTGCTCAGGCAACGACAGTCGGTCAAGTTGTACAAATCTTGGGATGGTGGAGTCGAGGCGGCATGCTGACGATATGACCGGGACAGTGACGAGCGGCGAGCATGTCAAGGTTGACAGGGCTAGCGGATGCAGGCTGGCCGCTGGCGAAATCATGGGCCCGGGTCGTCGCCATGCTGGAAGTGAGTCCTTGCGTCTTTGGCGAAAGCAGCCGGCGGCTCTTGTCATGGGCGGTCGCTTGTTTCCTGCCCCCAAACTCTGGAGACACTGGAAATGACGACGGCTCACGGCCGCGGCAGAGCGGGGGCCAAAAACACACCTTGCCATGCGCCGGTAGCCTTCAAAAGGGGGGGAGGGGAGCAGGATGGCAGATCCCTCCATCAACCTCCCCCATCACGTGGCAAAGGTTTAGAGACGTATTATCAAGCACACATGTGTGCGTACGTGCACACTACCTCAGTTTCCTATATCACTACGGTGCAGTACGTGTACAGATACAGGACACTGCCATTATGCATCACTTAGCCCAATATCGCATCGCGGGGAGGTGGGCGATACGGCCGGTGAGGCCCGCGAGATGATGGTGTGTGCCAACCCTTGTAGCCTGGAGACCAATCACCGCGACACGGAAAATAGTTGGTGGGCATAGTCAAATTGACTCTCACTCATGACATCGAGCCTACGGGTGATGAGAGACAAAGGTTGCAAAGAGAAAGGAGATATTTGCCATTCCACGGCTTGGAAGGGCAACGGTCTTGGACTCACGGGGGAGCTCGATTTGGGGATGGAGGCAAGGCGAGCAGGAACGGCGATGGGCACAAGCACGGCGGGCATATCCCAGCCCAGGCCCGGCTAGCCCAGGTCGACCTACCGTCAAGCACAGTTCAGTTGAGTTGTGATACGTACTCCGTACAGCTGGAGCGACCAGACGCGGGTTGCAGAGGTCGTCGCTCACGCCCTCTCCCCAAGTCTCCAATGGCCTGTCAACACGCCCCCTCCTTTCTGCATACCATCCCCCCCCTTGTTCATGCCTCGCCAGGGGACCCAGCTGGTGGCCGTGGAAGCGACGACAAACGCAAGTGGCTACTGGCAGCAGTATCGCGCGAGTACTTTGTGGCGGTCGAGTACCCGTGGGAAGCGCCATGCCGCGACCCAATGCTGCTCGTGTTTCCCGGGTTTAGCGACGAAGGACTGGGGTGTCTGGGAGGAATGGATCCGTATGTATGACCCAGGAAGGGGAGGAGAAGATGAAGAGAGGCGATACGGATGCCTCTTGCATGTTCAGACCAACACTTGCACACACACACACAGAGAGAGAGGAAGGGCGAGCGAGAGGAGGGGGCTCTATGTGTGGATGCAGCACACAAGGTGGGATTTCGCGGGAGAAGGGAACCAGGATCAAGAAGAAAGTGAGTGAGGCCACACTCTGGGTACTTTTTGGAGAGATTTTGTAGTGTCTTTCTCTTGATCCGTACAGGATACAAAAGTAACGAGGCACCCGCCGAGACCAGCGTCTCGTCCCTGTTACCCCGAGAGGTATTTCTCGTTCCCTTGCAATTGCGGTCGCAGCCCAGCGTGGACGTTGAATACGGACGACGGACACACAGAGATCCTTCTTCTTAATTATTTGGCCATTGTAGTTGAGCTTTGGCGAGTGAGCGCGTAACATCGGGAGGGAAGAAAGAAAAAAAGAAAAAGGCTGGCTGGTTCCCGCACTATCAAGGGTAGCCCTTGGCTCGCCTACACCTCAGACTTTCGACAGTGCCGGCTTGTCAACGACTGGTTCATACCTTACCTTGCCTTGCTTTCCTTGCCCACCACGACGGCTACGGGGACGAACTAAGGCTGCGGCTACAGATGCCAGACGCTTCTGCGGATACATTCTACAGTTCATCGGAGTAGGTGCACTACGAACGGAGTACGGATACGACAGAGACAGAGCGCGAGAGAGAGAGAGTGAAAGAGTAAAGGTACCTCGAAACGATTAGATACCAAGACACGACCACGACCACTCCGACCACCACTTTCAAACTCAAGGTTCGCTACCGCTACCACTACCACTTGCACTTCCACATGATATGAACATATTCCCTACCCTCTGCCCCCCCTTCGTCACACTTACACTTTCTTGTCATCTCACTCTTTCGCCCATCCCACCCGTCAACATCCGACACCACCAAAACTATTTCCTCTTCACAGTCACGCAGCCTAACTCATCAGGCAGGGCAGATTCATTGCGCTCTACACGTTCACTCTCTACACCCCAGAGGCAAACGGTGCGCGGCAGGCAAGGTTCAAGCATCGATACAGACGGATATCCCTACCCGTCCAGCATTCTTGACTTGAACTGGCATTTATACTGGGTTTAGCGGAATACATTGCAATCCGAGTCGCGTTACAGCCACAAGTCACCTCACCTTACCTCAGTGGCTCGCGACGTGGGAAATTGTCTCCTCACTCTTCAGTGTTCCACCCCCCGAACAGGCGCAGCATAATCGCGCGTCAAAAAACGCTCAAGCGCCGCCATACAAAGCAGCCATCATCCCTCGACTCGGACAAACCCCTGAGACGGGGAGAAAGGAAAGAGACGGGCCTTGAACAGTTGGACACAAGGGCAGCGGCAAGAAGCTGGACTAATACTCTATTCTCATCCTTTTGATTTTTTGTCTTTCTCTTTCTCAACTTTGGGGAAAGAGAAGACGAGAGAGAGAAAGAGAGGCGCACGGTACCTTTAAGGAGAACAACGCCGGCGCAGTTTCCCCTTTGGTTCTTTTGATACTCTCTACTTCCTCGCAGGCGACACACCGAATCGCAGGCGCGAATTTTCATCTGCCTGCTTCCGTCTCATACGCACACTCACAACAACACACATCTCACTACTGCCATCACCTCTCTCGGCACGGGCAACCATCCAACTACCACCGGTACGGCAAATTGCGAGCAAATTGCGGAGCTCATTGTCTACATTAGATCCCAATTTCGACCTTGAGCGTCCCCATCGTCATCGTCATTGTCATCCCTGGCCGGACGCAACCGCAATACGAACCCCGTCCGTCAAGCCAAGACCACGCATGCGCTGAACTGCTCCAAGGGCCGATTTCATCTGGAGCACCTATTTCTTCTCCAACGCAGACAGACCATCGCATCTACGGACACTTCTAGCTCGTTTCCTCGTGTCGGATCCAAGGCTGTACCAATCCGGGTTACCGCTAGCAAACACAGCCAGGTACTACACAGTACACACAACTTTCAAGTCGAGTTGTTGTCAAGGCAGCCAAAAACTCCAGACAACATCCCAATAGGGATATTTCATGTGAGTGAATCTCTAACGTGTCTGCTGCCCAATGTTCGCTCCAACTCTTTTGCATCTGCGTTTCTTGTCTCCTTCATCTGCCACCCAAAGGCCAAACAAGACAAGGGCAGAAACTCTCTTGACGGCGTCGAGCATCCGTACAGGCCGGGACGCTGGGTCGGGCTGTTCCCATCCAATTTCTCTCACACATATTCATACACCAAGGGCTGCACAGCCTCAGGTCTCAGCGGCATCTTTCTCACCAATTTCTACCCTTGTTCCACCCCCGGAGCGGACAAGACACCGCTCTCGCTCTCTCGTCCTTGTCGCACGTTCCCAAGACAAGGTACCTTGCCTTTTCTTTTTTCTTTACTGACGCACGCGCGCACAGCCCAGCAAGCAATTATTTGTCCCACGCCCCTCCCCCCGCCGACGCCCACTAAAAAAGAAGGGAAGAAAAAAGTCCAAAGCTCAAGCTCCCGCGACCTCCGCGCGCCGCGTACCGAAGCACCACCGGCGGCAGAAAGCAGCAACAGCTCCAGCTGCTACCTTAGCTCCAGTTCCAGTCCCAGCACCACCTTGCCAGCTGCAGCTGCACCTGTACTTTGTACCAGCACTCTGTCCCGCCAGCAAAGAGTGTCATCATTGCGCTTGATTACCACCTCACTCTCTTTTTTTCCCTCTTGTGCAGATCTTTGAAAGGGACCAGGGGGTAACGCGAGGAAAGGAAAGAGGGAAAAAAAGAGAAGAAAACTTTACCCACCCCCACGACAAAGCAACGACTTGGATCTCAACCACGCCAGACAACAGGTCCCCATTTCTTACTCATCCACATCGACCTCTCACGGAAGATCATCTCCCAAGAGACTCTCCAAGTCCGGAAGATATCGAGGCGCCCTCCCTGTCTCAAAAAGCCGCTCGCTTGCTCGCCTCGGACCTTCAGCCCAACGCTGTCATAGCTGTTGCTGAGTCCTTCTACCTCTCCGTAGCTCTTCCAGAGCAACATTCCGCTTAGCTTGGCTCGGCCCGAATCGCTGATTCTGGCTCTCATTGACGCGCGCGAACACCTGCGCACCCTTTTCGTCAACATCATCTCTGTCGAAGCTCCCCGCCGACTGACTATTCACTCACCACGCGACGATTATCCGTCAACTTACCTTGCCGCCGGTCGCTTGCTGCATCTGCGCAGCTATTCTACCACGGCACAAATATCGCTTGCTCGGCCTAACGCGCCTGCATAGCGACATAACGACTTTCACCACTCAACGTCCGAGTCGGTGAGGTGCCGTTTTGAATCATGTCAACATTTACTGCCCTCAATGGGGGCTCACCAAAAACGTCAGAACCACCCAACCCGCCCGCCGACGCCAGTAGAGCCCCGTCAGACGAGCGCACCAATGGACAACCCGCCCTTCCTGAGCCCAAATCGACAGCCGCCGTAGAGCCCTCCCCAAGCCAGAGGGAGCCCTGGGCCGGCCCCAGCCAGGACAGATCCCCGTATCAAACGGCAACTTACCCCGACGTTGATGGCTCTCATAAGAGAAAGCGATCAAACTCAGTAGAGCTGAGGCGAGAAGCTCCCGGGCGTCAGGAAAAGTCCCCGGAGGCCGCTTCTCAACCCCACCCACCAGAATCACGTGAACCCTATGGAACGCCCTCGCGCGATCATCGCCCGTACGCTGAACGCGAAGATTCAAGGGAACAGGGTGAGTCATGGTATTCACGGGAGGGAAGAGAAAGAGAGAGGGAGAGGGAGGAGAGGGGTTACTACGATCAACCTTCTGCAACGTCTACCCAAGGTCAATCCGAGGAGCAAATTGGGGAGGCTCTGAGACGCGCTAACCAGATGGATGCGAATGATTACGACAACACCAGCCCTGACGGTGATGATCGATCTATGGCCTATGGATCTTACACCCCTGGCGGATCCCGTGATATGCTTCAATCCGACAAGGCGAAGAGAAAGCGAAACTTCAGTAACCGAACCAAGACGGGCTGTCTTACATGCCGAAGGAGGAAGAAGAAGTGTGACGAGCAGAAGCCAGAATGTAGGAGATGCCCTGATCTTTGCCATTTTTTTGTTTGAGTGATAACGCTGACCCTTTTCCAGGTAGCAACTGTCTTCGTGGAGGCTTTGTCTGTGCAGGATATCCTCCGCAGCGAAATACGGCTTGGCAGAAGCCGGACAGCAAGGCCGCCGCCATCCCCTTGGAGTCCAAAGACCCCAGCTACGTCCCACCTGGTGCTTACGGTATGCCACAGCAAGCTCCTTACGGCAGCCAGCCAGCCGTCGGACCAAGACGAGAGGCATTACCTCCCTACCGCGGCCAGCCCTTGCGGATAGATCCTCCTCAGGGCCGACCCCTACTGACTGACGACGACCGGCCGACAGCCTCGACGATTCCCAGTGCATCGGTTGCAAGCCCCGAGACCAAGCTATCCGCCATTCCCTACACTCCAGCGAACGCCTTCCCGACGCCAATTAGTGCTCAAGGGCCTCCCCATGCCCCCTTCTCCGAGAGAAAGGACTACCAGCGTGTGCCCCCGTTACACGACATTAGCAGGACTGTGCCGGAGCCGGAGACGCCTCATCCTGGCAACACGCTGCCGCAAATCAACATTCTGCACCCCACGAGGTCGAACAGCCCCATCCCGCAGCCTCCAGCAACTAGCAATGCACAAGTCGCCGCGCAGCTAGCTCTATCGCACACCCAGTTTTCTTCCAGCCGGTCTAGGACGACGAACAAGGAGGATATGCTTGCCGGCAAGCTCTACTACCCATTTGATAAGGAGCTTGTCCTTGAGCGCGAACGGTGCAGCGCTGCATGTTGGCGATTCAACAACTCGACGAACCCCAACAACGGTGTCTCGCCAACCGAGCGAGGCCGCCTGTTCCGTGAGATTTTGCAGCCTCGCGACCCTATCCAAATTTCGCCAACAGTTGCATCGCCAGTGACCAACATTGGAAGAGTGGGCGAAGACGTAGTTGTGGAAGCGCCATTCACTTGCGACTACGGGTACAATATCTCTCTTGGGAAGAATGTCGTTGTTGGCCGAAGTTGCACCATCATCGACACCTGCGAGGTCAAGATTGGCGACAATTGCCACATTGGACCGAACGTGAGCATTTACGCGGCAACGCTACCCACCGACCCTAAGAAGCGCTTAGGTAGCAGGGGCCCTCAACTTGGCAAGCCTGTCACCATCGAAGAGGACTGCTTCATTGGTGGAGGCGTCATTATCCTGCCAGGCGTCAGGATTGGGCGCGGAAGCACCGTTGGGGCCGGTGCGGTTGTCACCAAGGTATGTCGTCGACATGCGCTCCCTCATCATGAAACTCTAGTCTAACATATGCTGCAGGACGTCCCTCCCTTCACCATCGCTGTCGGCAACAACGCTAGAATTATCCGCGGCATTTCCTCCTAAGACAGCACTTGGTCTCTGTCTGCTTCCCTATCTCTTCCTCGCTGCTATGATACCCAGCTGCGTCTCATTGTACAAAAGCGTGTGTGTATGTGTTGTGATTTTTTTTATCTTATTCCATTTATTCCATATCATTTCTTATTATTGTTTCTACGATTTGGAGCCAAGCGCAAGGAGCAAGAGAGGGAACCACCAAAAAAGAGCCTGGCGTTTTCTAATACATTGGTTTCCTTGACACGAAGCTGGCTTGATGGGGAAACAGGCCCCATGGGTCTAGCTAAGCTAGTTGGAGAGAAAAGCACGAGGAGGCACCGATTTCGTGGGGGTTTAGCTCTGGTGGCTCGAGACGGAGGCCGGATGGACGAGCTTACTTTACATTGACAGCAAAAGGCTGTCAGTGCACAAGAGGAGGCAAACAGTATTTGATGCGTTGTGTGTTGTGTGTATGTATCTTGATGCTGCCTAGGCAACGAGATGTCGGGCATGTCGTCCGGCATAAGATCGGTAGCTTTATTGCATGAGGCAAATGAAAGTTGTTGCCAGACATGACGTCGATGAATCTATTCAACTTGTGCTGTGCAATGTGAATAAGCCCCACTGGCGGATGGAGATCGAGATGCAAGTTCAACTACTGCCGTCTGTCTCGATCCTGCCGCTCCTCATAGACGCGGGCACATGACGTGCCAAACTAGCCCTATGAGACAGTAGCGTGCAGCGTCAAAATGTTTCAAGCTTGTCAAGAAAATTTCGGCCTCTCCTTGGCCTCCTTGGCCAGCCTATACTCTCTGTACAGATGGGATGACGGGATCACGAAAGAAAAAAAAAACGGTGGAGAATTAGGGGTCATGGCGCGGTAGAAGACTGGGACTGGTCGGATATGAAGCAGTCCGATAGACCGCAGACGCCAGCCAGCACGCGCCGTGTAAGTGATGATGGATAGAAATAGGTAGGTAGGTAAGGTATGCCGTTGCTCTTTTCCGCAGTGGCGTGTAGTATCGAAATGTTTCAAGATCCAGGGGTAGCAGCACGGCGTTTGGATCGTGCAGCAGGTCTGCAAGAGTAAAGAGCGGCCTTGCCGATACGAAGATGGGATGATGGGGGATCACGGAGCAGGCAGAGACCAGCTACTCATTGTCTATAGGACTTTTGAGTTAGAGTAGGGTCATGGCGGTAAGATGAATACTTGGATAGGCGCTTCGATACGAATGCCATGTTGAGGGCAGAGTAGCACAGATGCCGGTGGGATTCATTTCAGCCTTAGCGGTTGTTTCTTCCTACGTGCCAGAGGGCGTTAGGCGTAGGTTGCGTTCAATATCTCGGGCCGTGCGTGTGAAGTCCGAGAGACGGCCGCCCCGATGTACGGCCCGCGGTCATGGTGAGGAATGCAGCGCTAGTGGCGCTAATGATATCCCATTCCAGCAATCGATGGGAAAAGAAGTACGAGAATGTGTGGGCACTAGAGTAATCCTCGGATCCGGATACGTGTGCTATTGTTGGATAATCTGTACGGGTATGTAAGTGTATGTAAGGTGAGATTTTGGGTGCACGTGAACGGCGGATTTACATGTACGCCAGGCGTTCCTGCATTGTAAGAGGTGCCAGGCTAAACATAGTTGTTAACAGGAAGCTTGAATCTTAATGTTCATGTGTTCATTGGACGGCATAGGGCGTTTGACGGATGGCGGAAAACGAGGAGGGAAAGTGTTTGGACGTTTTCTTTGGAGAGGGGTGAGGAGGCGTGTAGGGAGGGGTTGAGAGGATGGCAATATACCATAGTAGGTAAAAAGGGGGAGAGAAACCACGATTGAGTTTTGAGAAAAAGGTCTGTGTCTCTTTGGGCACTGCTGTCCCTGTCGGTCAGAAACATTTTGACTTGCCCTCTTTACCAAGCTCTTCCTTGGTCTCCTGTCTGGTTAGCATGTGCAAGGTGGGGGAGGCGCACACACATACACACTACTTGAGGGTGAACGGACGAGAGCATGCGGAGTGTTTTGATTCCATGATCGTGAGAGTCCGTTTGAGAGGAGGTTCGTGTAGATGTTTCGGCGTTTAGGAGAGAAAGTTGGGACGTTCCCGGTAGGAGACCAAAGAGGGGGAGAGGACAAGGGACAGGGTTGTGTCATATCGTGGTTCGTTCCAGTGGTTTAATTAACTTCGCTGTAAACTCGACCTAGAGATGCGAGATTTGCCTTGGCTCTGCATGTTCTCACGGTTTAATTGTTCATCGGTAAAGCTTGTCCGAACCGCTCGGACGTTTCTTCTTTCATGTAGTCTAGTGTAGTAAAGGAGGGAGTAAAGAGCAATGTCATAGAGAAGACGCTTACCGTTGCTTTCTGCCTTCTTTACAGAAAAGAAGTTGAAGAGAATGGACGTGCTCATCGATTGCAGTCGCTCGTGCCGAAAGGTAATCAATGACACATGGACGTCTATAAATGGTATACAAGCTCGATGCAGAAAAGCGGCGTTTCTGACAGCTGTAAAGCTGAGCTCTAAAAAGAACTTCGGTGTATCCCGGTATATTGTGGCATACGGCGGTGGTGATTTCTCTCGTTTTCTTGTTCGTGGTGTCGATGAGATGATGTTCAATGGAAGTTGAAGCTTATGGATGCCTACCATTGGTAAGGTACGTATTAGAGCCGGAGATATGATGTTTCCAAAAGGGGAAGGCGTAAAAGCCGGGGATTAACCCCGACTAACAAGCACCTTCCAAAGTTCCTCCTCCTCCCTTCCTATGCTTGTGATGACGATTGCTCTCCTTCCATTGCTCACTGACATTGGTCACGTTTCCGGGAAACTTGCATCTCCATTGCTCTTCCGGGTACTGCTCCATACTCTTTTCTGCTTCTTCCTCAAGAGAAACAAGCAGCTAAACTCCGGATCACTTGCATCCCAGATCGGTAATCCATCTCGGACCTCGTCTTACCTCACTTCGCCCAAGCTCACTCCTCTACACGCTACTCTACGGGAATCTGGGACATCAACTCGGCCGATAGCCATCACCCCACACCCCGACAATCTTATCCAAGGGGGTGTATTCCAAAGAAAAGGGGTGAAGAGAGGGAAGAGTGCCTTAGATCGAGGGTAAGGTAGCAGAGCCGACTCGGCCAGCGCAAAGAAGAGGGAACGAACTATGTCGTCCGCGTCGGACATCACTCAGTTCACGTCCGTCTTTCGTGCTCAGTCTCTGTCCGACGGCCAGCGCAGGGTGACAAAGCGCAACCGTCAACCCGTCTCGTGCCTAGCCTGCCGCGCGCGGAAGCTACGATGCGATCGCGCACTCCCATGCGGTGCGTGTGTTAGGCGCGGGGACGAGGGGGCATGCAAGTTTGGGGCTGCTGCCCCTGCCTCAGCTTCTACTTCTGCTTCTGCACCTGCACCTGCATCTGCATCTACACCATCTACATCTGCTTCTGTCTCTGCCTCTGCGTCAGGCGGCGCTAATGCTGTCACCGGCACCGGTTCTATTACCGTTTCTGGAAGCGATGCTATTCCTGTCACCTCTGGCGGAGGCATTGGGAATACTGCGACCTCGACCACTCGTGGAAACGGGAATCTAGCCGCTATCACTTCAGATGGAGCTACTCGTCATCGACGTGGGAGTGGAGCGGGACAGCAGCCGCGTCCGGAGGTTCACTTCCGCCTCCGAAAATTGGAGGATATGGTCCAGGACCTCGTCCGGAGGGGCATGAATTCATCCAAAGACCGTGACCGGAACGGCCCCCAGTCCACCCCGGCACCGGCCTCAGGACCCGGCCCCACCAAGTCCACCGGGACCGTCAACGCCGTGCCGACACCACCGACGGACTCGGAACCACTCCAGAGCGGAAGCAGCAGCACCGGCGATGACTCCCCAGCCCCGATTGCTATCGACGGAGACGACGCCTACTACGGCGCAACGCACTGGACCGCTCTCCTCCATCACATCCGCGAGATCAAAACGGCCCTTGAGCCGGATCCTACCGTTGCTCCTGAACCTCCCGAAGGTGGCGCCTGCTCCATCGGCCCAGACTTCCTCTTCGGCGCCGTCGTGCCCGTCTCCCTGCCGGAGGTTCTCTACAGCCTCCCGCCACGACAGGACCTCGAGAAGCTACTCGGCGTCTACTTCAACGCTAGGTTCACCGCCGTGCCCTTTATCCACGTCGGCCGCTTCCAACGCGAGTACGCCGCTTTCTGGGCCAACCCGGAGTCGATGAGCTGGCTCTGGATCAGTATCTTGTTTTCCATAATATCAAACGCCACCGTCATCGTCCGCGGTAAGGGTAACGCCGAAGCACTCGGCCTCAACCCTGCAAAGCTCAAAGAGGCCTCGGCGTATTCGGGTCGCGCGGTGCAGTGCCTCATCAAGGGCAACTACCTCGCCGCGAGACCTTACTCAGTCGAAGCGACGCTCCTCGTCGCCTACTCCCGCGTACTAGGTAGTAGGGACATGGACCCGGTCCTCTGGAACATGTTCGGCGTCGCCACGCGCCTGGCCCAGCGCCGCGGCTACCATCTCGAGCCCTCGCACCTCTCGGTACCCATCACCCCCTTTGACGCCGAGATGCGCCGCCGCGCCTGGTTTTACTGCGAGGCGTTTGACCTCCTGCTGTCCTTCCAGCTCGGCATGCCGGCCATCGTCCACGAAGGCGACAACGACGCCGTCGGGCCCGAGAACCACCCGGACGAAGACTTTGACGAGAACACGACGACGATGCCGCCGCCTCGTCCGCCGACGGAAGCCACGCCTTCGCTCTACTACTGCTATAAGTCGAAACTCTGCCGGATCCTTAGGCGCGTCATCCGCCACGCCCTATCCCCCGCGCAGCCCGCCTACGCCGAAACCCAAGTCCTCAACGACACCTTGCACGCCTGGCACGCCGCCCTGCCCGCTGTGCTGCGCGTGAGGCCGATCCGGGAGACGGGCTTCACGGAGCAGAATCATACGGTCATGCAGCGGCTGATGCTGGAGCTGATGTACAGTAAGGCGCTGTGCGTGCTGCACCGGCGGTACCTAAGCAGGGAAA